TTGTTCAGTCGCTGCATGTGACCCATTTAAGTGGATGGGACTGTGCCACTACTGCCCTGTAACTGTGTGCAATGCATGTTCAAACCGCATCCAATCCACATACTGTAAATGTGAACGGGAACTTAGAGCTGATTCACACATACTGTATGCGGTGTGGGTTGAAGCTCAGGTTTCACAGCTAATTGATACAGTAGCTGTTCACAGGTTCACATCAGGTTTACATCAGGTTCAGGACAGGATTACCTCAAGATCTTATCCTGTTCACACTTATGCGGTGTAGAAGTCAGTAGCCTGTAATCGGCACCTGAACCCACTGCTCAGAAATCGGAGATGACTCTTTTTAAAACCGCACTGAATCTGCACCGACCGTGCACTGGACATATGTGAACAAGCACCATAGGAAGCAATGGTATTTCACATGTCATGCGGCTTAGATGCGGTTCAAACCGCATCCAATCTGCATATATGTGAACAGTCACTTTGCACTGATTCACACATGTCCGGTGCAGATTCAAGCTCAGGTTTCACAGCTAATTAATACCGTAGCTGTTAACCGGTTTAGGTTTACATCAGGTTCAGGACAGGATTAGCTCAGGATTTTATCCTGTTCACACATGTCAGGCTTATAAACTGTTCCCATAGAAGTCAATAGCCTGTAATCTGCACCTGAACTGGACTGCACTACTCAGAAATTGTACATGACTCTTTTTTTCAAACCGCACTGAATCTGCACTGGCAGGGCAAAGGACATATGTGAACAGGCACCATAGGAAGCAATGTTATTTCACATGTCATATGGATTGGATGCGGTTCAGACCACATCCAATCTGCATATATGTGAACGGGCACTTGAGCTTTTGATGTTCCAGTATGGCCATATTTCTTGGTTGCCTTCACCAAGAAAGTTTTCTTTGCTTAGTCCATCAAGAAGGCAGGAAGTACAATTATGTCAATAAGTATCACATGCTAATGTAATTTATTACTGATGTGCTTTTCTCTTTGTTTTGGTTACTCATACAATGGTAATGTGACCTGTGTAGTGTTTTCTTTTTCATCTTACTTTATATAGGAGAAATGTAATAAAGAAAATCTAAAGCATTTTAGGTGTTACTTTTGTTATCTGCTTGAGTATAAACTGTAGTCTGTGTCGACTCGATTCAGGCTTCCTTATACCAGCTATAAAACAAGAAGCATGTGTACAGGGTAATAACCTCTATGAGGATTCAGTAATGGACTGTGGATTTGAGCATTTCGTTTCCCATTATACAAGGCCACAGGGCAATCGCAAAACCTGTTGAACTGATCAATTTGATCTACGGAAAAATAATAATGCAGTGACTTATTTATAAATCTCTGTTGTCTTAAAATTATTGCATAAATGGGCAATTCATTTTCAGAACCCTACTTTGACAGATATAAAATGTAAATTGCATGGTGAGCTCAATAATATATGGCAAAGATTTTTGTTATATTGATTGTTTAATGAGTAAAAAATCTCTGTATATAACTAAGGGCCTGAAGCAGTACTCTAGGAGAACAGACCGTGCCATCAATCTAACCAGATACAATATGCTCCTTCCAGTTAGGGGTTAAGTGGGCTGTGCTGGGTAGGCATTCATAAATGACTTAACAGCTATTTATATTTAGATTACATGTTAATCCTTTTACATGGCAATACACACCTGAGCAGGATTGATTCATAAGGATTTTATTGAGCTTTCTAGTAAGGTAAAAAGGTTGTAGCAGACGTACAGTTCTTTACTTTGGATATACTAGTCAGATGAGCACTATGGAATTGCACCAAAGTACAAAATGTGTTGTGATATACTATACATACATTTCAGCACTTAACCAATTACATACAAGTAAGCATTTTTCTCAATTGTTGTATTAATAGATTTATTTTGGAGTGGTACATACAGTATTTATAAATTTGTTTTATTATTGGTATACTTTTCTGATTACCTAATGTGGTTCTGGATTGTTGACAAACTAAATCCAGTCAGTATTTTCATTCATAAAACTATTGCATATATCCCTCACTGGGCCCGAATGACCTGTTAAAATGTAAAGGTAACTTCTGATTAAAGACTAGCATTGCATATATCATCCGGAAAGCTTCCTGGCTTTCAGACTTGACCCCCTGCTTCAATACCAGTCATTTACCTGACAAGAAGGCAATAAAATTAGTCAGACCTCTTACACCATGACTCAAAAGATCTTATAACCAGAGTTCTCAAAAGATGAGCTGTCATAATGGACTGATCATCCCCAATCCATTGGCCCAGCTCGATGCTTGCATATTAATTTAATGATGTTATGTCAAACTAAGAACGTCTTAGTTTGGCTGCTGATGCAGACACTGCTAGTTAGGAATCCTACTCCTACAATCAGCTTCCCTGCACAGATCCAAACAGGAAAGTCTTTCTTTGAGTCTCCTCGAGGTTCTACTTTTTAACTGAAGCCCTGAAGAAGGGAAAGTACTTTTGACTCCCAAAACGTGTTGACTGTCTTTTAACATAACATCATTAACCACTTGCCCTCCTGAGGATTTACCCCCCTTCCTGACCAGGCCATTTTTTGCGTTACAGTGCAGCATTACTTTAACTGACAATTGCGTGGTCATGCAATGCTGCATCCAAATTAAATGTATGTCCTCTATTCCCCATGAATTGAGCTTTCTTTCGGTGGTATTTGATCGCCTGTGTGATTTTAATTTTTTTCGCTATAAAAAAAGACTGACAATATTTTTTACTTTTTGCTATTAAACATGTCCAGTAAAAACATTTTAAAAATCAAATTTCATCATAAATTTAGGCCAAAATGTATTCTGCTACATGTCTTTTCTTAAAAAAATCCCAATACCTGTAAATTAATTGGTTTACGTGGCAGTTATAGCGTTTACAAATTGCAGTGTATATATACTGGGATTTTTAGGAATATTTTTACTAGTAATGGCGGCGATCATCGACTTATAGCGGGCATTCTGACACTTGGGGGAACTGACTTGGTGTTACTGACATTTAGTTACTGGTGTTACTAAACAAAAAAGCACTGACACTGTACTAATGGAACTGGGCAGGATGGGGTTAACAAGAGGGCGATCAAAGGGTTAACTGTGTGCTGTGTCCATCTGCTTCACTGTAAGCACACTGCTTTGCATGGCTGTGCTGTGCACAGCTGTCCAAAGTAGTGTGCATGAGCTGACAGGGAGGAGAACTGATTTATTTACAAACAGTTCTCCCCATCGGAGATGCTCGGCAATCACTGGCCGGGACTCAGTGATTGACAGCTGCGAATAGCGGAGCGGGTAATGCGTCCGCGCCCCCCTACCCGGCAATGAAAAATCACGTATAGATATATACATGTGCCGCCCAGTATTTCTGCTATAGGGCGGTTGGGAAGCGGTTAAATTAATTTGGACTCTTATGTTTTGGTCAGGCGCTCCTTCCATATGTGCCCACTTTTTCCTGGTAACCTGCTGTAGTACCCACAGTAGGGTGGCCTCCCCTATTGTGAGCAGCCTAGCCTGAGCCACTGAGCTCCTCGTGTGTTTTTTTTCCCTCCTACTACCTTGTTTAAACTCCTATCAAAGTCCCAGCACCTCTTGGATGCCCTTCTTTCATTGGAATCCAGCCCGATGCTTGGGCAGGGATTGTGTGATTTAAATACATATTTTCAATTTAATTTAATTTGTATGTATTGTCTTATTTTCTTTTTCCTATTTTTGTTTTACTGGTTCCATTGATTTTACTATGCAGGAATGCTCCTCTAGATGATGGCATGATTCAGCTTCCATTGGTTAACTTTATTGTTCTATGAAACGACTAGTCAGTCAGATGACCAATGGGTTATACTTTGCTCTCAGAGGTTGATATTTACCTTCATGCTACTTCAACCCCCTTTCCCTCCCATCTGCTATGTTCTTTGTACTTTTGTAAGACTCGTATATTTTACATCAACTGAGAAAATTGAGTTGGCTATGGCTCTTTAAAATTTGGTGCTATAAATGAAAGTGTGCGCTCACCAATTAGTGACACAATTGTGATAACCTCACATATTAACATGAATGGAAAAATCTAATATAATTAATCATACACAATCATATACAAAGTAGCTACTTTGTGGCCGATTTGGTGTGGTGAGTCCCCATTTTGGCTACATTTGGTGGTGGAACACAGTTTTAGAGTTGTCAAGTGAGATTCATTTAAAGGAGCAACTGCTGCTATATTTTTTTTTTTTTAGCTGCTGCTATACATTAAGTGATACTGCAAATACTGCATTAGAAAACTCTTATGGCTATGTGTATAAACTCCTTCTCAGAATAATTAGTAATTCTGTTTTCTGAACATTTTGGGTTTCTTCCAGCAGCAAACGTACTTATATTTGAAATCATGGCATTATATCTTCAGATCCATTTCATTTATGTCAGTGACAGAACTATGCGCTATGACTTTGATATCAGAAAGTCCAAATGTTAAATGTTCTTAATATAACTCTGAACTGAATCTAAAATTCCTCTCTGCCTAACAGAATGAAATGTCTTTGAAAAACCTCCATCTTCTCTGGCCTGCTGAGAACATGGCAATACTTCCATTATTAAAATGTGATGACAGCAAAGACAAAAGAAAGCACTGCACAGAAATATTCTGAAATGATTATATTCTCATTTTAACAGTGGCTGCAGCTTGTACTCAACAACTTTTGTAGTGCCAAGAGTTCAGTTACATCATAAGAGGAACACTGAGATGTAAGCTAGATGGTTGACAAATGTAGTATGGGGGACTTGGCACAGAGGTGGCAAACATTGTTCTTACTCCATATTTGCCTTTGCCAGAAATGTAATAAGAGCAATAGAAGCCTCATTTGACAGTCAGGGAATCCTTTCGGACTGAATAAAACCTTGTGTGCTTTGTAAACACTTTCTTATAATTCCTTACAAATTATTATTTGAATTAGTACCCATAAGAATGTTTGTTTCTTTTTCTCCTGTATTTTATACCCTAGTTCAGGACTTGACATTTCCACTCGCCCGCTCGCCAATTGCGAGTGGAAATTATGGTGGGGCGAATGTGTCCCCCAGGGCCGTCTTGCTGCGCAGGCTCGGAGCTCAGGCCAGATCTGTCATTGGCACTGGGAGCCGTCAGACTGCTCAATAGCTGAGCGCAGTGAAAGCAAAGGAAGGAGTGTGTGCTGTGCTCTCTGCCTCCCCCTAGAGTGCAGTACCCGGATCTGTGAGTGAAAAACGAAGTACTGCAACTTTTTATGGGTGTGTGTGTGTGTGTATGCATGTACAATTGTACATGTGACTGTGTGTATGTACATATGTGTATCTGTACATGTGTCTGCGTGTATGTACATGTATGTGTGTACATGTGTCTGCGTGTGTGTGCATGTACGTACATGTGTCTGTGTATGTATGTATATGTGTCTGTGCGTGTGTATTTCTGTGTATATACATGTGTCTGTACGTGCCTGTGTCTGTATGTATGTGTGTGTGTGTGTGTGTGTACATGTGTCTCTGTGCGTGTGTGTGTACATGTTTCTGTGTGTGTATGTACATGTCTGTGTGTGTGTACAGGTATCTCTGTTTGTGTGTGTTTGTTTGGTGGCGAGTAACTCTAAGGCCTGGCTAGTAGCTCAGGACTTGAAATTTTAAGCCCTGCCCTAAGATAAGATTATTTTCACCCTGACATAACGGGGTTTATTTACTAAAGCTGGAGAGTGCAAAATCAGCTGAGGTTAGAAGCTGATTGGTTTCTATGCAGAAATGAGACTGATTTTGCATTCTCTAGTTTTGGTAAATAAACACCAATGGGGCATTAACCACTTGCTCTCCAGAGGATTTACCCCCCTTCCTGACCAGGCCATTTTTCGCAACACAGCACTGCGTTACTTTAACTGACAATTGCACGGTCATGCAACACTGCACCCAAATTAAATTTCTGTCCTTTTTTTTTCCACAAATGGAGGTTTCTTTCATTGGTATTTGATCACTTGTGAGTTTTTTTATTTTTTGTGCTATAAGCAAAAAAAGACAACAATTTGTTTTAGAAAAAAAAAACAATATTTTTGACTTTGTGCTATTAAACCTGTCTAGTAAAATATTTTTAAAAATCAAATTTCGTCATAAATTTACGCCAAAATGTATTCTGCTACATGTCTTTGCCAAAAAAAATCCCAATACCTATAAATTAATTGGGTTACATGACAGATATAGCATCTACAAATGGCGGTATGTATACTGGATTTTTTTTTTTTTTTTTTAAATACTAGTAATGGTGGCAATCAGCAACTTGTAGTGGAACTGCGGTGAGCATTCTGATATGGGGGGGGGGTAACTGACTAATGGCCACTGACATCCCCAGTGACATGAAGACAGTGATCAGTGCTAATAAAACGCACTGACACTGTACTAATGACACTGGGCAGGAAGGGGTTAATATCTGGGGCGAGCAAAGCGTTAGCTGTGTGCTGTTTTACAGTGTGCTGTGTGTGCACTTTACTTTGTCAGCACATTGCTTTGTATTGCTCTGCTATACAAAGCAATGTGCAGGAGCTGACTGGAGAGATCTGTATGGTTTACATACAGGTCTCTACCCCGTCAGTGATACTCGGCGGGACCCAGTGATCGACAGCTGAGGCCACCAATGGTGACGCCGGTAGGCAGCTTGCACGCCCCCTACCCGTAAATGTAATAATCACGTGTATATATACGTGATTTTGCGCAGCCTTGCCACCCTGTAGCAGTATTTCTGCTATAGGGTGGAGGGAAAGTGGTTAACAAAATAAATGTCCATCCTCAGATTATCTGCATTTTTGGTTACGTGTTTAAGATATTTATCTGAATATAAATCACATAAACTAGTCAGACCTAGAAATGATCTCATCAACACCAAAACTGAAATGGATTATTAAATGTTAAAGTACCGTATTTTCCGGCGTATAAGACGACTTTTTAACCCATGAAAATCTCAAAAGTCGGGGGTCGTCTTATAAGCCGGTATACGGTGTGCTGACACTTCCGAGCCGGTGTCAGGGCGGCACTTTTTAATGGGGCGGCGCGGTGCTGCCGCCCCCTCTTTCCACTGGAAGGGACACTAAGTACAGGGGGGGCAGGGGGCTGCTGTTTCTTACCTGGCTCCGGTCCCAGTCCAGGAAGCGCGGCTGTTCATTCATTCAGTTCGGTCGCTCCCTCACTCGATGTTCGCTCGGCTCCGCCTCCTCACCGGTGATTGGGCGCCAGAACTGTAGCTCAGGAAAGGCACACAGGCGGCCAATCACCTGTGAGGAGGCGGAGCTGAGTGGCCCCGCAAACATCGAGTGAGGGAGCAGACGGTAAGTGTGTCGTGCAGATGGTGCTGCTGCAACCACATATGCTGGCTGCAGCAGCACTATGCTGAAACGGGTCAGCAAGTGTCATTGGTGTCAGTGGGAGGAATAGTGCCCCATCATTGGTGTCAGTGGGAGGAATAGCACCCTATCATTGGAATACCATACTGAAATACCATTCCATATTGAAATCAAATCTGATGTTTTTTCATTATTATTTGGTGTGTGTTGGAAGAGGGGTAGTTTTATATGGCTAGTATAGCCCAAACCCTATATTTTAACAGGAAAAGTAGGGGGTCGTCTTATATGCCCAGTCATCTTATACACCGGAAAATATGGTATACTATGCGGCAAGATCAGTGAAGCTTTCTTGGTGCCTTCTTTCATTTTCCACAGTAATTATGCTACTTAAATGGGTGGGGGGGCTAAGAGGAGCAGAACCTTTTATTTGTACTTAGGGAGCATGATCTAAAAATACTGCCACTGGTAATGTTTCCACATTGGGTCTTTAAATTTCAGTAATTTGTGTGAGCATATCATTAGAGAGGTTGTCTTGAAGTATAACTGAGGGCAAAACTATGGAGAGGGATTAGACCCCCTGTCAGTTTTTATTGCTTTCTCTATCCCTGGTAAGGAGATTTATCCTCTGTTTGTCCTGTTTACCATTATCTTTGAAAGTTAAAAGAGAATGCCACATTTTGGGTTGTCCTCGGAAAAGTAATGTGAAATCTTCCAATAGGACACTAGTTCTGGTGACCTGGGGGTCCCCAAGGAATTCCCTTAATTTGCAGAGATTTCTTGAAGGGACATCTCCACAAAGGGACACATATGAAAAAGACAACAAAAAAAAATCTGACGGGTTATAACACTCCATTGCTCTATTCAAAATGAAACAAAAAAACATTTTGCCTGTAGTTGTACTTTTTGAGTAAGAGTGAATTAGATGTCAGTAAATTGTTTTGCTTTGTTGTACAATATTTTCACTCTTCTGATACCATTGCACTACACCTTGATGGTCAATACAAATACTGGACACACATGACTGGTCAGGATAAAAAAAATACCTGTTAGGCTGCTTTCACACTGATCCATTTTTTCTTATGTTTTTGAGTTTAAGCCCTCAGGCACACTGGACGTTTTTACAGCTGCTGTTTTTGGCGTTTGACGTTTTTTTCTACAGTCAATAAACCCCCCAGCATGCCCTCAGGCACACTGGACGTTTTTACAGCTGCTGTTTTTGGCGTTTGATGTTTTTTTTCTACAGTCAATAAAACCCCCCCACATGGTATCCTATGTGTCCATGCACACATAGGCTGTAATCAACGTTTTTTGGTTGGGATGTTTTTTGGCAGGAAAAAAAACCCAAAACTAGTGAGTTTCTAGAGGAGTTTTTTAGCTGTAAAAACACTCTAGTGCTAAAAAAACGCACCAAAATGTGATAAAACGCCACAAACCGGCGTTTTTGGATTTTTTTTCGACCCAAAAAAAAAATTTATTTTGGTTAAAAAATGCGGGAAACCGCCGCTAAATGCTAATGCAAAAACGCTAAAGGAAGCTGAAAAAACTCACGTTTTTAACATGACATTACACAGCTAACGTTACCAGCGTTCTAAAAACATCCAGTGTGCATGAGGGCTAAAAAGTGGAAGAAAAACCCATGACCATTAAATCATTTGGAACTCTTCACACTGGTCAGTTGCAGGTCTGTTGCATTTTTCAAAGTTCTACTACTGCAGTAAAAAAAAAACACCGAAAATGCACCTCTCCATTAAAATGAATGTAAAACTCATCAAAAATGCACTGAAAATGCAGAAAAAAAACCCTAATTTTTCAAAGGAAGCAGTGTGAAAGTAGCCTAAAATGGCATATTATCTGACTATGTGCAGTAACTGCACACAGAATATTACACAAATATTCCCAGCAGCTGAGAACAATTATCTGTTTTTAGCATTCATGTGGCAATGATGATTCGCTGCTGACCGATGGATGGTATTACATTGTGTAAATGGATAACTGCTGTCCAGAAGCCAAATGGTGTCTGGAAAGGCATTATTTCCTGCTATATGCCCAAAACTCTATGGAGAATTATTTTTATTTTTAAACCGTGTGTCCCACCCAAAAAGACACCATGGATGAATCAAATGTTATATTACAGGTTTATTGCAAAATGTTTAAATATTCCTGGAGGTCTTTTTGAATATTCTGATTATAGGCTCAGTCATATTGTTTTAGTAATGAGCTTGTCTCACACAGATTGTGTTGTTGCACAGAAGCCAATCAGATTTCCACTTTGCAATATACGAAAAGGAAAAGAGCATCTCAGTAGTATCAGTGGGACACCATAGCCTGCCTGGAAAACCTTTTCTCTAGTAAATAGGTCACATGGTTATATGATTGGAATGATGCAAAACTAAGCTGGTCCTAGGCAGGTTATTCAATGGAGGAGTGACAATGAATACATATGGACTGATTGGGTTTATGGAGAGAGTACATTCACATTCAAAGCATTACTTTGTTGTTGTAAGTGCATATATTGTCTTCATGGTCTCTGTCTCCATGATTGCTGATTTGCTTGCCCTTTCTCTACTCTAATCAATGCTAAAGGAACTGACCATAGTGACCACAGCGTCAAACCCTATCCCTAATATCCCCACATACTTTCGCACTAGAAACACTGAAGTGGTAATAAAAATAGGTGTATAGAAGGAGTGTAAGAAATAGGAAAAAAAATATTACGCAAAAGTGCACATGGAAGAGCTCTGCAGTCCATCATATTAGGGTTGATTGCTAAAGGCAAATATACTGTGCACTGCAAGTGCAGTTACATTTGATTTGAGCTGAAGCTCTGAAAGGAGTGGAAGCTCTGTTGATTTCTGTCAGCCAATCATGTGCAAGCAAAAATGCTGCTTTTTATTTTCCTTTCACGTGATTGTATATTCTTTGCGAAGTGAAGCTTATCTTTATTTACTAAGCTCTGGAGCAACTGCACTTGCAGTGCACGGTATATTTGCCTTTAGTAAATCAACCCCAAGGTGTACCGTATTTTTCGCCATATAAGACGCTCCGGAATATAAGACGCACCCAATTTTAAAGGAGGAAAATCTAGAAAAAAAAGATTCTGAACCCAATACTGTAGTAAAATATTTTATATCAACTGTATAAAGTTAACAGCAGTTTAAGAACAATTTTATGCCAACCATGTAACAAATCCAGAAATGAAAGAACTCACGGTTCGGATCGTTCCACGGATCAGGAGTCACGGATCGGATCTTTTTCGGATCAGTAAAAAAAAAACAACAAGACAAACATACCGGTACGTTTTGTCTTTTTGTTTAATACATCATCCACCATTGCCCCCACTCATCACGTAATGTCCACCATTGCCCCCACTCATCACGTAATGTCCACCATTGCCCCCACTCATCACTGTAAAGTCCACCATTGCCCCCCACTCATCACCATAATGTCCACCATTGCCCCCACTCATCAGCGTAATGTCCCCATTAGTAATAATAGCCAGTAACATTGCCCACTCATCAGTAATAATAGCCACCATTGCCCCCACATTAGTAATAATAGCTCATTGCCATGTAATGTCCACCATTGCCCCCTCATCACTGTAAAGTCCACAACATTGCCCCCCATTAGTCATCACCAGTCACTGTTCCAGTGCAACAATTGCCCCCCCCACATTAGTAATAATAGCCAGTAACATTGCCCCCACATTAGTAATAATAGCCAGTAACATTGCCCCCACATTAGTAATAATAGCCAGTAACATTGCCCCCAACATAGTAATAATAGCCAGTAACATTGTATTGCCCCGCTCATCACCTGTTGTAGATCCGCACTATGGTAGGATCCACGAGCAGAGGGGGTGATGATGTCAGCGCGCACCGCCGGGTGTACTAAGATGGCCGACCGCTCCAGAGATAGGCCAAAGCCGCGGCCTTTCCTACGGCCGTGGCCGCGCGTCACGGATTCTCTCTCTATTCGTCGTATAAGACGCACCAACTTTCCCCCCCCCCAGTTTTGGGGAAGAAAAAGTGCGTCTTATACGGCGAAAAATACGGTACTTTATTTAAATCAGAAATGGGCACATAAAGCTCAGCTTGTACTGTAGGTGCAGTCTGTGCGCAAGAAAGCACTTTAAGGAACCAGTGCAGTTGTCCTCCCATTAACACAAATTAATGGTAAATTGTCATTAGTAATATTTTTAGGCATATTGGCTACCCTACCGAGCTTCTGGCACTTTCCACTGCTGTAAACCCCATGTGGGTGTTGTATTACAAGGCAAGCAATCAGATTGTCACGTGTCATTGAAGAAAGGTGCTACTTTCATAGTTACACAGTGTGTAATTGTGAGTACAGCCTATTGGGTAGGTGATGCTAACCACGTAAATGTACAGTTTATGAACTAGCCAAATCAATTTCATATTTTATTTTGAAGCATTTTTTATTATTTTCGTCTTTTAAATGTTGTTTTCGAAACAAATAAAATAACTACAGTATTCCATTTCTTTCCTACTCCAGCTGTTATCTGACATGTGGTGAGCAACTATTCCTCACTGATTTGGAATTAATACCAGTATTCACTTTGTGTTTTACTATGTTGTTTGAGACAAAATAATACCTGTTCATATACAGCAGTGTTCCTAGTTGTGATATCATGAATGCCATTACGAGAGGACTTGAGTTTTCAGGGTAGCATCCTACATGTTTTTTAAATATATTTTTCTCTCTACATTCACAGGTCGTGTTACAGGCAGTGTAATCAGAGAGAACTTTTCTCAATTTTTTTTTAAAGAATAAACTGTACTGTATAGCTACAATCTATCTGCATAAAACCATGTATCTATTGCCATTCTGTAAACCGCTAATTACTGCATTTGCGAATAACTGTTTTATTAGTTTACTGCCAAAGCATTAGTATGTGTGATAGTGGTTTGTATGTACAGGTGAATCTCAATAAATTAGAATATCATCAAAAATGTAATTCATTTCAGTAATTCAGTTCAAAAATTTAAACTTATTATATAGATTCATTACACACAGAGTGATATATTTCCTGCATTTCTTTTAATTTTTATGATTATGGCTTACAGCTAGTGAAAACGCAAAATTCAGTATCTCAGAAAATTAGAATATTGCATAGGACCAATTAAAAAGGAATTTTAATACAGAAATGTTGGCTTACTGAAAAGTATGTCCATGTACAGTATGGTATGCACTCAATACTTGGTCAGGGCTTCTTTTGCATAAATTACTGCATCAATGTGGCGTGTCATGGTGGCGATCAGTCTGTGGCACTGCTGAGTTGTTATGGAAGCCCAAGTTGCTTTGATAGCAGCCCTCAGCTCATCTGCATTGTTGGGTCTGGTGTTTCTCATCCTCTTGATAACATTCCACAAATTCTCTATGGGGTTTAGGTCAGGCGAATTTGCTGCACAATCAAGCACAGTGATACCATGATCATTAAACCAGGTGTTGGTATTTTTGGCAGTGTGGGCAGGTGCCAAGTCCTGTTGGAAAATTAAATCAGCATCTCCATAAAGCTGGTCAACTGAGGGAAGCATGAAGTGCTCTAGAATTTCTTGGTAGATGGCTGCACTGACTTTGGACTTGATAAAACACAGTGGACCAACGACAGCAGATGACATGGCTCCCCAAATCATCACTGACTGACTGTCCCAGAATCTGTCCTGGGTACGTCTGTGTGTGGTGACTCTTGAAGCACTGACCCCAGCCATAGTCCACTCCTTGTGAACCTCCCTAAATTCATGAATGGCCTTTGCTTCCCAATCCTCAAGGCTGCGGTTATCCCTGCTGCTTGTGCACCTTTTTCTACCAAACTTTTTCCTTCCGCTCAACTTTCCATTAATATGCTAGGATACAGCACTCTGTGAACAGCCAGCTTCTTTAGCAATGACCTTTTGTGACTTGCCCTCTTTCTGGAGGGTGTCAATGGCTGTCTTCTGGACAACTGTCAAGTCAGCCGGCTTCCCCATGTATGGGTAACTTAATGAACCAGACTGAGAGACCATTTAAAGGCTCAGGAAACCTTTGCGGGTGTTTTGAGTTAATTAGCTGATTAGAGTGTGACACCATGGGGGTTTATTTACTAAAGCTGGAGAGTCCAAAATCAGACTCCCTTCTGCATAGGAACCAATCAGCTTCTAACCTCAGCTTGTTCAATGAAGCTTTGGCAATGAAACCTGGAAGCTGATTGGTTTCTATGCAGAAGGGAGTCTGATTTTGGATTCTCCAGCTTTAGTAAATAAACCCCCATGAGTCTAAAATATTGAACGTTTTCACAATATTCTAATTTTCTGAGATACTGAATTTTAGGTTGTCACTAGCTGTAAGCGATTAATTATATATTTCAAGCATTTCTTTAGTATAATTTTGATTACTCTGTGTGTAGTGAATCTAAAATAAATTAACTTTTTGATGAAATTCTAATTTATTGAGATGCACCTGTATTTATTTTGCTTATTTAAATCATGTGGTGTCAAGACATTCTATAAAAATTAACAGAACACATAAACCATTCAAAAAGTCTCATTTAAGAATTTACAGTGTAATTTCCCAAGCACAGTAGTCAGGCACACACATTAGGAGCACGCTGGGCAGAAAAAGACAAGACTATCAATATGTTTATTGGAGGTGGGGAAAAAAGACTTGAAGCATCCAAGAGACCAATGTAACAGAACACATTTAACTCAATCCAGATAGTAGTATCCCTGGTGAGGGTTGAACCCAGGACCCCAGCACCCTAAGTGCAGTATTACAGTGATGCACACTGAATATTCTGAATACAAATATCAGTAACTATTTCATATTTACTAAAGTTGGTATGTCTTTTATGTAATTTGTTTCTTCACTGCTTTGTTTAAAGTGCTGTATTTTTTGCTCAGTGTCTAAATATTGTAGTAAGGATCTAATCAGGTGTTTTTACAGCAGGCTGAAATCTTCCTTTGTTGTGAGTCAGAATGGCCTCTATTAATCTGGAGAACCAGCTGCAGAGTGCTCAGAAGAATCTACTATTCCTGCAGCAGGAGCATGCTAACACCCTGAAAGGCTTGCACGCAGAAATCCGTCGGCTGCAGCAGCATTGCACAGGTAATAAGGGATATGGTGTAATCCATATTGCTGATTTGTTGCTTAGTAAAGCTGGAAGTCTCATGTAGGCTGATATAATGCAGTACCTTGTAACATTTATTTCAGCAGGCTGGCTCATACATATTGTAAGACATCTTTTACACTGCAGCAGAAAAGATAGTAAATACAATTAAATGTCATTCAGATAGTTACCGCACAACATCCAAACTATTCCATTGGAGGAGTACATAGTAAAGAATAAAGGTACAGGATCCATATACATCTGAAATTAGATATCCACCCAGCCCATAAATGAACATTTTAAAACAGAGGTGATAGGTGTGTTTTTTAAATAATGTATGTTATTGAATGTTCAGCATAGTTGTTTAGAAAACATCGGGCTGCTACGGAGATCTCTAACCCTTGTCCATATCTTCACTGTTGCGTATACAATTGAGGCCCTTAATACATGACTAAGGATGGGTTAAGTAAAAACATTAATATTGCTGATGTGTTGTCCATCCTTATTCATTGTGCAGAAGCCAACTGATTAGGTGGATGCTACATGCTGCTATGACACCTGTATGTTCACAGCTTAAAATAACAATTTGACCATTAAGATGGCAGACAACAGTGTTAGTGCTTGCATGGAATAGCATGTGGTGATGACGTTTCTTGTGAACGAAGGTGTAAAATCTGCAGATATCTTCAGAAGACTTCAAGCACAGTATGGTGATGAGACACTCAGCCGCAGTAAGACATTTGAATGGTGTAAACATTTCAAAGAAGGCCATACCTCCGTCAGTGACGATCCCGGCCATGGTATTTCCCAGCCCACAGCAGTCATTCCCGTGAACATTCAGCGCGTGGAACGGCTGATCCTGGATAACCCATGAATAACCTGCCGTGAAATTACACAAGAAAAGACTCTTTCTGTGGGAATGGTGAACACAATCATGCTGAAGTGAAGCAGGCTGTCCTAGGATGGTTCAGGCATACTGACAAATCTTTCTATGCCGAAGCTTCCCAGGCATTAGTTAAACACTGGGATTAGTGTATAAATGTAGCATGGGAGTATGTCAAAACAATAAATGCAGTTTGCACTCCTTGAAATTTGTTCTTTTATTATATAAAACTCAAAAGTCCCAGTTTGACTTGAACACTCTTCATACAATGACTGCATGGAAGGTGTGAAGGTTGTAAACCACCATGTTCCAGTTCTGACCTGTCATGTCAGTGGTGCCAAGAATACTGCATAGGGATAGGTTTTATTAATCCAGCTATATGGTTGAAGGTGTAAATTTCCGAGTCAGCAGGGGAGAAATGATTGAGTGTCAAATACCATGAGTTTGCCCTGTCTCTGAGTAGGCCAGTCGGGCCAAGCCCCAGGAGCTACCTTAATTCCTGTCAGTTTTGCTGTGGAGAGGGTTAACTTTTTGGATAGAGCATTGATGTAGTCTGCTGGGTTAAGTACTATTAACGAGCCCTCTTTTCGGCCATAAAGCATTAGGGAAGCATCTCCCTGCTGATGCTGCTGCTTGAGAAGAGTCACGTGGAACTTCAATTTCCAATTTGTTATTGCTTCCGGTGACTTTAGTCACCTCCAGCCATCCAACCCTCACCTCCTTACCAGGGTTTTGTGTGTGCATGGGGCCTGGCCTTATATTTAGAACATGTATGTTGCTTTACTGACACTTGGCTATAACATGTCGGATTCTACACACAGGGAGGACAGTCCCACTATACTAGGTGCCCCCCAGCTATATTGACAACCTGGGGATGTTTTCAGCTCATCTTCTGATAGTGCTCAAGTCTGCAACCTAAAATCATGCTATCCTCCTATATTAGAGTCTGTTCCTTCCTCAGAGTGCTCTTTGACTCTGTTGGGTGTGGCTGCAAACTCTCCCCTCTTGGCTGAGCTTTTTACCACATGCAAAGTGACTCAGAGTACCCAGTTTTTGCTGACTGTGATCGCAGGAGCCACAAGCATGCTTCCACTCCCTCTCCTACAGATTATATGTCTGATGTGCCTGCAACCTTAGGTGCTTTTGAGCAATTGGTCATAGAGATTCTATCCGAATCTGAATTACTCTAGTCCTTGACTGAGGATCTTGCCCCTAAGTAGTCGCAGTTTACTAGATCTGTGAGTGCTTCTTGCACTTTTGGCATCAAGCAACTGTTTACCAGATTTGCAAGGTTGCCGCCTGCTCTTCTGTTCACACATTCTACCAGGTGGACTTTGCTGTCTCATCTGATGCAAGCTCAGTCATAGGTTCTTCACTTCAGGCTGCTGTTTGAGCTGCAGGCAGCCCCTAATTCTATGTTGTTTTCTTGGGCCTGTTAGCATTGTTGTGTTGTCCATCCTTTAGTTGGACTGCTTTTGGACATCCCAAAGTCAAAAAACTTCCTGTGTTTCTCAGCGAGAAAGAAAAGAAAATGAGATCTTGGAGTCCATTGAGGGACACAGATCCCACTTGTCTGTGTTGATGATCACGCTTTGCTACAAACCCAAGGAGTACTGGTGAAGGTAGGTGGTAATCTGGGCTGGCCGACATAGACCATGAGTTAAATGCAGACTACCTTCAGGTGATAGGACACTGTAAAAAAATTATACTAGGGTTGCCCCTAGTGCACATTTCTTATAACCCCACCCACTCTAATCCAGTTTTTCGCTAGTGTCCTTAGGTGACAAATGTCTTCTCCTCTAGAGAAGTATTTTTTTAAACCATTTAATTTTTTTTTTCTTCTGCCACTCCTGTCAAGATCTGACTACTTATTGCCTTGGGCTATCTAGCAGTTTCCAGGTCTGTACATCCTCTTTTCTCTCTGACCCTGTTCAGGAATCAGAGGTGGGACCTCCTTTACCTGAGGATATTATGGAGGAAAGTATTAAGGACCCTGATTTTGTAGTGGAGATTGTGGAAAATTTTATGAGTTGCAAGATGCAACTTTGCACCAAATACGCTCTACTGTGAAGCAGTGCCTGACTCTCCACATCCTACACAAGCCCTTATGGGCACTGACTTTCCCATATACACACAGATTGTGCACTTTATGAGAACTTGCCTAATCCTGAAAGGGTATTCACTCCTAAAGTTTTTTTCTGAAATTTATCCTATGGAAAATGGTTTTTTTAAGAAGAAATGGGCTGTTCCAGCGGTGAATTCAGCCATTTCAGCTTTCAATAAACACCCTATAGTTCTGTTGAAGATGTTCCAACTTTTAAGGGTTCAGTAGATGAGCAGTTGGAAGACCTCTTAAAGAGCTTGTTTGACCTTGCAGGTCCAGCCCACAATTGCTGCCATGTCTATTTGCCAAACTATTGCTAACCAGACAAGAAAAATGAACATGGAGCTCTTTGATAACCCTGCTGCTTAACCGCTTGAGCTCCTGAGGATTTTCCCCCCTTAATGACCAGGCCTCTTTTTGCTACTCGGCGCTGCACTAATTCAACTGATAATTGCGCGGTCATGCAATGATGCACCCAAATGAAATTTATGTCCTTTTTTTCACACAAATAGAGCTTTCTTTCGGTGGTATTTGATCACCTGTGCGCTTTTTATTTTTCATGCTATAAACAAGAAAAGACCAAAAATTTTGTTCAAAAACGATATTTTTTACTTTCAGCTATAAAAAATATATAGTAAACTCAAAGTTAGTTATAAATTTAGGCTAAAATATATTCTGCTACATGTTTTTGGTAAAAAAAAAATCCCAATAAGTGTATATTGATTGCTTTGTGTGACAGTTATAGCGTCTACAAACTATGGTATAGATACTGCAATGTACGCCATTTTTTTGCTATACAGCGCTGCGCTAGCTTAATGGACAATTGCGTGGTCATGCAATACAGTACATAAATTAAATTTATGTCCTTTTTTTAACACAAATAGAGCTTTCTTTTGGTGGTATTTGATCACCTGTGCACATTTTATTTTTGGTGCTATAACCAGAAAAATTTTGAAGAGAAAACATTTTATTTAAAAAAACATATTTTCTCATTTCGGTCATAAAAAATATCCAAAAAAACTAAAAATTTTGTCATAAATTTAGGCCAAAATGTATTCTGCTACATGTTTTTGATTGAAACATTCACAATAAGTGTATATTGATTGCTTTGTGTGAAAGTTATAGCGTATACAAACTATGGTATAGATAATGGAATTTACACAGCTTTTACTTTCTGACTGCTCATCGCATTTCTTGAGGTGCAAAAATACCAGGATAGTACAAACACCCTCAAATGACCCCTTTTCGGAAAGTAGACACCCTAAGCTATCTGCTGAGAGGCATATTGAGTCCATGGAAGATTTATTTGTTTTCCACAAGTTTCTGGAAAATGGCAAAACGTTTTTTTTTTATTTTTTTTTTTTTTTTACACAAAGTTGTCATTTAAATGATTTATTTCTCGCACAGGCCATGGGTATATGTGGAATTACACCCCAAAATACATTCTGCTACTTCTACCGAGTATGGGGATACCACATGTGAGACTTTTTGGGAGCCTAGCCACATGCAGGAGCCTGAAATCCAATGACCACTTTGAAAACCTGAAGGTGCGTAACTTCCGCATTACACTTCCTCACTACCTATCACAGTTTCAAAGGCCCAAACATGCCAGGATAGCACCAAACCCCCCCAAAATGACCCCTTTCTGGAAAGTAGACACCCCAAGGAATTTAAAAAGAGGCATAGTGAATATTTTGCAGATCTCATTTTTTCTCACAAGGTTTTGAAATATAAAAAAAGAATAGAAAAAATATATTTTTGTTTTTTTTTCTTCATTTTCCAAAAAACTTGTGGCAACAAATGAGATCTGCAAAATACTTACCGTGCTTTTTATCAAATTCCTTGGGGTGTCTACTTTCCAAAAATGGGTCATTTGGGGGGGTTAGTTGCTATCCTGGCATTTCAGGGTCTCCAAAACTGTGATAGGTAGTCAGGAAGTGTAATGAGGAAATAAAGCCCTTTAAAAGCCTGAAGTTGCTTATTGGATTTTGGGGTCCTGTGCTTGGCTATAC